ACTTCTTTGCAAACCTCCTGAATTTAATAATTGAGAATTGTTAGAAACTTAGATAGTAAGTAAAGAAAAGTTGGTTAGGACATCCAAGAAGTTACAAAAAAAATTCAGATCTGTTGTGTATTTTAGTGCCTGCCTATATTTAGGGCCAAGACCTTTGAGGTCTTGGGAAGGGATGCAGCCATTATTACTACTTTTATTGTTGTTATTGTTATGAATAATAAAGAAGATTGTTACAGAAATGAAAGTAGGAAGCACCAGCTATGCTGACCTATATGAAACCTTTTGCAATTTAATGAAAACAGACAAGAAGAGACAACATTTAGAGCATGACCTATTATTTTATGTGTAGGTATGTGTGAATGCATGTGTGTGTGTGCACAAAATTGGGACCAAGTAAGTATATTTACAGATAACTTTTTAAAGAATTATGAGGTTAATCGATGTGTAGTAAATGAGGAAAATTATAAAATTGTATAGTTTGGCAACCGAAAAGTATGAAAAGGGAAAGCCTTTGTGGAGAACTTTTAAGTAAAATATCTCAAAAGCTCTTCTTTTATCAAGATACCAATGGAACAGATTATTATAAATCACCTGATCAGATGTATGACTCATATCTAGGGATGTTACTGGAACTGGCTGTTTGGATCTTACCATCACTGGAAGTAATGCTTGATCTTTTCACTGACCATAAAGATGTTTCAGAGTGACATAAGCTGTTCTCAGTGAAGTCCACCGAGGCCAAGTGCGGCTACAAATGTATTTAAGTACTTTTTAGTTCAGCAACATTCATCTGGCTTTTACCTTTGTTATAAGGGCAGGCATGCAGAAACATTCATTTTGGCTAACAGAAAGTCATTACAAATGAAGCAAGAGAGCAGTGGAGCTTAAAGAGCAAGCAGTCAGTCTGTATTAGCAGGAGCAGGGAAAGATGGTGTATGCTTCATGCTGGCAGAGACAGGATGAGCAGGATTCACATAGGCATCCATTACACTCATTTGTAGGCTGCCAGGCAGGCATCCTAGCTGGGCACAGCTGATCTGGGCAAGGGTGGTGCTCTCAAGTTACACTGCTGTCTTTAGCCCTGTGTGCCATATGGGAGACAATAAAGGAGAACCAGGAATAGGCAACATCAGCTGGCTGCAGGTTCAGGCAGAGGAGGAAGAGTAAAGGCTGATCTAGTTTGGAGATTAGAAAACACAACTCTTCCAGTTATGACATACAGGAACATAAGAGGTCGTAAGATGCATGTGTAGGAAAGCTACAATTTCACTTGAAAGGAAAATGACTAAAGCAACTACTTGTATGGCACAAGCAGCCAACTGATTGTTAAGCTAAATGACTTATTTCTGGAATTAACTGGTCTTGTTCATAGAGATGGTATGAATGCATTTCCTTTCCTTTGTTAGCACCTTAAAAATCCATGACGTATGATCCATGAGAACAGAAATCTATGTATGGAGTCTGGGAACTGCTGTAGATGCAAATGTACCTCCCACAGTTTGATTTTCTATAATCTCAGTTATTTAAGAAAAATCATAATGCTACTGATTCTTTCATGCAGGCATTTAATTTTCAAATTGGTTAGAATTAGTTATACTTCTGTGATTCTTACTTACACGTGATAATGGTTTCCCATTTTCCTCTAGTTTTGCTCTGTGTCTTGAACCCTGTCTTTTCTCTTGACTTTGGACTGTGTGAACCTTAGTATTCAGTGGAGGAGGAAGATGCAGTTAGAAGGGAATATTGGCCTACACATTTCTTGCTTTGTCGTAACTTATTGCACTTTCAGTGAATGAAGTGCAATCTCAAAATCTTACACAAGCCCAATGTTGGTTTTAAATATGGCCTCTTGTGATTAGTCTCATCTCCCATTTTTAGACTTTTTAAAAAAAAATCAGTACCGGGGATGGAGCTCACAACTGCGCACGCTTACGAGGCAGGCGCTTATGCCGCTGAGCTAAATCCCCAAGCCCCTCGTCCCCCATTTTTAATATAGTAATTGCTACTTAAAGCTATAGAAAGTCAAAGAGCCCAAAACATGAAGAGCTGGTAAAGAAAGGAACTATTTTTAGATTCCTACTGTCCAAAAGCCTGGCCATTGGCAGGGATAGTATTTATGGCTGAGAGATACCATAAATCTCACAGGTTCTTTATTTAAACCCCTCCAGAAAGAAATTGGTTTTAAGAAGGTGGAGGCCAGAGTGAAGACAGGAAAAACATGCTTCAGAGAAAGATGTAGTCAATTTTCTGGTGCTTGGAAGCACTTTTATCAATTTACAACTCATTCTTATCCATTAATAATTACCATGTGTATCTATTCTGCTCAACAAAATTTGATAGAGAAAAGTTGGATGCCAATTATTCCAAACCCTCTTGCTGAAGAAACAACAAACAGAAAGCTCAGGGGAACTTTAAAACCAAACCAAACCAACAAGAAAACTTCCGTGGGAGCAAGACTTCCCAGAAGAGATCTGAGAAAGCGGTTACCAGCTTACTGCTTGTGTTTTGAGTTGCAGAGATCAAATATAAAATGAGGCTATTAATGGCAGCTTTCAGAGGCAGAGACTAAACAATGAAAAGATGCTTTTAAAAGACTAAATCAGGAATCTTTTTACCTTACAGTTTTTCCTGGGCCTACCATGCTGTAAAGTGACTGTGTCATATCCTTGCTCTGTTAATCTCAAAAGCCTGGCATTCTGTCTGTTATTGGTTGAATTTTGTCCCACAAAAAAAAAAAAATGTTCATGTCTAGCACCTACTATCTCAGAGCAGAACCTTATTTGGGACCCTCCCCCCCGGTAGATATAACTGAATTAAGTTGAATTAAGTAGGATGGGCCTAATATAGTGGTGGTGAACCTTTTAGAGATTAATACTCAAACTGCAACCCAAAACCTACTGATTTATCACAAAGTTACAGTTAAACTTGAATACTGGAGTTTTAGTTTAGAAAACACAACTCATATATGAACATTTTTTTTGTCTTAAGATAAAAACAGCAGGTGTATCATAAGTTTGCCCTAATTGCCTTATCCAATACACCTGGTAACTTCATTTAAAATGGAAATTTAGACGTAGAGACATACATGCATGATAGAAAGGTGATGTGGCACACAGAAGGGTACGTCCTTGTGGAGATGGGGACAGAGTTTGGGGGTCTGTTGCCACCGGCCGAGGGTGAGCCGGGGCTAGCAGAGGCTGGGGGAGATACATGAAGTGGTTTCTGTTTCACAGGAGCAAACACTGCCGGCACCTTGACTTTGAACTTTTTAGCCTCCAGAACCGAGATAATAAATATCTTTTAGGTTTGTGATACTACATTCTGGCCACCCTGAGAAACTAATATTGCTAAGTAGCACTGTTACAGCTTGTGTTTATAGATGGGGCTGTCAGAAGTGGCTGGATCTAGAATGTGTGACACTGGGATTGATTCATGATGCAATGCTAGGCTCAAGGGCTTTAGGATTAAGGGTAGAGGTCCTACCCACCTTGAGTAGTAATTGTATCAAACTTAGGAACTTTCAGTGTTTCCTTCAATCCTTTGTTGCCTTTTGGAAAAAAACCCCACTTTTTTCAGAGCTTCTAAAATGCCCTTAGGTCTGTCCTTTACCCCGTTTCCTCTGAACAGCTGTAGAGAAATAGAAAGTAAATATAGTCCCTGTCAGGAGGATTTGCGCTTGTTCAGAAAGGTTGAACTGTGTAAGTGAAGTGAATTGCATGTGAATTGTGATGTAGATTACTTCGTGTCAGGGCCAGTAAAATCTAAGCCTTAAGAATCTCCCAGATGAAGGAATATTGACAGATCTTAACTATGGGGAGGGTGTTGCAATAATAACTGATTCAAAGCAGAATATTGCTTTTCTCCAAAGAAGATTCAAAGAGGGAGTCAATAACATTAACCTTCACATCAGCTAGTCCAAGATGAAATACTAGCTCAGACATCGACTAATCAAGATTGTCTTGTCCCTTGTGTTCTTGTGTTGGGAAATAACTTAGTTCAGTATCTTTAAGATTTATTCTCCTTGTACTTGCACTGATCACATTCCTTGGACTGCATACTGGAGCCAAGAACTGTATTTTTGAAGCTGAGCTGGTGATAGGCAGATTGTCTCTCTGTCTTTGGAGTCGATCCAGCCATCTTAAATATTGAAGTGTTTCTTTATGCTTCTCTAGGGACATTTTCATTATGCTGTATTCTTTGTGATCGGCTGAACCTAACCACTGCCTTTGGATGCTTTTCTAAAACAGGTACATATGCTTAGGAAAATTTACTTGAAATGCTGGTATATATGACTGATAGAAAATACTTATGTGGCTATTTAAGAAATACAATAAAATATTCCCAGAGAAAAAGTAAAATATAAATATTTCAATTTGTCATGTGTATGTATGTATGTATATGCTCATATTTATACCTATACTTCTATTTCAGCTTGTATATCTATAGAGAGAGGATTGGAGCTGTATAAATCCATTTGTCTCTGTATGAGTACTTTATTCCATCATAACCCTTTATCAGCTAGATATTGTTAACCACTACCCTACCAGTAATGCTACTATTACTACTATAGTTAACACTTAATGGGTATTTTTTTATGCTTTTTTTTGGTACTGAAGATTGAACCCATGACTTCATGCTTGCCAGGCAGGAACTTATACCACTGAGCTAAATTCCTGGCCCTTAATGGGCATTTATTAAATTGTACTGTTATGGCTTTGTTTAGATGTACCCTCCCCCACCAAAGTGCGTATGGTCATAGATGGGGCTTTTTTAGTGGTGACTGGATGCAGAGTGTGTGACAATGGGATTGATTTGTGGTGCATTCCAGCCTTAATCCTAAAGCCCTTGAGCCTAGCATTGCACCATGCCTACTGCTTTCTTGTGTTTGTGTCAGCTCTGCATTGATCTCTATCACTATAAAACTGATCTCTCAGAGTAGGGTCTTTGCTTGTCCAAATATATTATTTTTACTCCCAACAGTAAACTCAACACTGAATTGCAGGCTCTTCAGTTCATGAGCATGATGATTGGGTGCTCATGCTGTATGCACAAGATGTGCCTCCTGCAAGCCTTGTTATGATGTGGGGGCATTACCCATCTGACTTTGTTTTGGGGTGGAGCAACAGGGTCTTGCTATGATGTTCAGGCTGGCTTTGAGTTCACTTTGTAACCCAGGCTGGTCTCAAACTCAAAATGATCCTTCTGCCTCAGCCTCCCAAGTTCTGGGATTACTGGCCACCATATCCTCTGATTTAAAATAAAAGACTGAATTGTAAGATGGATAAGAATACAAGTTTTAGAGTCAAAAAGACCTGAATTTAATCCAAGCCCTCCATATATAGTCATTTAGTTCAAATTACTTAGTATTTCTTACTTTCTGTATCCTGCTTCATGAAATATATATCTATATATCTATGGGTAGATATACATTTCATAGGGTTGTTGAAGTATTAAAGATGAATATGTAGATGAAGCAATTTCACACTGAGTGGTTGTCTTAGTTACATTTCCTCATGGCTGACAAAAATACCCAACACCCAGAGTTAAAGGGGGAAAGGTTTATTTAGCTCACAGTTTATAGAGGTTTCAGTCCACAATTGATGGGCTCCAAGACAGAGTGGCACGGCAGAGGAACCTCATAGAGAAGAATCCGTTCATGTAAGTAGAAGAGAGCAAAAGCAAGCAAATAAGGCAACTTAACAGCATCTCTTTGCCCCTTTTATTTTATCCAGGCCACTCATTCCCCAGGGATGGCATAGTTGTGCCAGTGGAGGGAAGGCGATTTTGGCACTAAATGACCAGCCATCCTTGGTGTACACCTCATGCAGCCATAGACCAAGACTGAAACTTTACATGATACAGGACCTCACACAGGAAGTGACCATCTAGGACAGCACTGCAGGAGGGGAGAATGTGTAAAATCTGCAGAACAGGGGAAAGGGTGGCTGACGTGGCTGGTTAAGAGGAAGAAGGTGAGATCAGACCACGGGAAATTCTCTGGGTCACTTTTGGTGAGGAAAGAGAATTACAAGTTAATATAACAAACTCCTAACTGATTGAAAACATGGCTGTGAATCCTTTGACACTCTTCTCATGGAGAGATAGGGGTCTGTGTCTCTCCTTGAATCTGCTGAGGCTTGTGACAATTTTGGTCAAAGAGAATGATGGTAGTAACACTACATCACTGAGGGTAGCACACGAGGCTGGGCAGTTTCTGGTTTGTCACTCTTTTTTTTTTTTGTCAGTACCGGGGATCGAACTCACGACTGCCTGCTTGCAAGGCAGGCACTTATGCTGCTGAGCTAAATCCCCAGCCCCCTGGTTTGTCACTCTTGAGCCCCAAGACTCTAGATAAGAATTCTAGTTACTCTGAGGCTGCCACACAGGAAGACACAGATATGGATGCTCCATCTGGCAGTCCTGAGGAAGCCCAGTCTTACCAACATCTGCTTTCTGCTACAAAGTATCTGACATGTGATTGGGGCCTCTGCCAGCTGCCCACAGCAAAATGATCACCATTAACTTTTATCTGTGGATGAATCACCCAGCTGATTCCAGCCAAAATTCCTGGCAGACAACATCATGTGATATACTAAGGTGATAGTTGTTTTACATTCTTGAGTTCCAGAGTAATTCGTTCCATAGCAATATATTAGTAGAACCCTTAAGGATGGAATTCATATTTTATTATTCTACCCATTGACCTGGTTGACTAGTTGCATGTGGAATGCTGGGGCAAGGTCAAGAAAGGGGTCTTGTTCATCTCATTACGGAGAAATAGCTCTCTTGACTGACTATCAGAACTTGGTAAGTTTTGCAATCTGGATAATGTTGGGTAATAATTCCTGCCCTACCTGCTATGCAGAGAAGAAAGTGTGGCCTTGAGAAAAATGTAGGTTAGTATGTGCACAAGCAATTAAAAGAGATAAAAGTGCCATAGAAAAGTGTCACTTTTCTGTTTATTCCTAGAGTTGCATTTATCCTGCACTTAACACTTACCACATTGTATTTTAATTAGATGAACGCTTCTCTACTATCATACCTACAATAGTGTAAAACTCAGTAGTTGTTTAATAGTTATTTGCTGGAAGATAGCTTCATAGAGCATCAGTGGAGACATAGATTTTATGGGGGCAGAGTTAAAGAATCACATGCCAGAGAAGAGTGTGGGCCCTCAAGACAGAGGTGTACCAGGGTCTGGGGTCAGAAACATGTGTGTTCTTGGAGGTATTCTTTAAGATGGCTGAACTAAGATGATTTGTCTAAAAAACAAAAACAAACAAACAAACAAAAAAAAACAAAACCAAAGAAAGAGAATAACTATAGAAGTAACACTAGGTAAGGAAAGATTGGGAAAAATTTAGAGACCTATTTTTTAAAGAGACTGCAGGAAATATGTTAGAGATAATCCGTTTCCACTCATTTTAATTTTTTATTGCACACAATAAAATACTACATGTTTGAACTTGACAAGTTTAGTAGAAATCCAGATGGTGCCTATCATCCAAAAGTTGTGGTTGGTGCAATACTTACCATTTGTGCTTTAAAATGGAAAAAAAAAATTGGTAGGAAAGAAGGATAAAGGGAAGATAAAGATGTGCATCATTTCAGTGAAGCATAGTCCAGAAAGTTTATGGCTTGGAAAAATCAGCATTCTAGAAACATTGAGTGTCCTCTATTGGCAGAAATACCTTGAATGCATGGAAGAGTTACAGAGGAAGTTCATAGGCCTGGGCTGCCTTAACCTAACACAAATCAATGTAAACCTCTATGGTAGATTTCAGTTTGATGTGTTTTTTTCCCTTGGAGAGTTCACATTCTAATGGGAAGGCATCATCATGTCATTTTCAAGCTTGGTTTATGAAATAGTGGAGCCATTCTAATTTCTCTGTCCAGCTTCCCACCACTTCTGCTTGAACCCGAAGGCATACATGCAGGTTTTGTGGGTTTTGTTGCAGGGAGAAGGAACTGAGGGAGAGAATAAGGGAGAGAACTCCAGGCCCAGTAAAGATGACAGGGTTGGCTATCAGGGATGGCTAGCAGAGGGGCCAGTGAAGGGGCTCTCCTCAGAGAGGAAGGACGGAGGAAAAGTGGGTGGGCAAACCCAAAACACAAACTAAAGGTACAGTTAGTTGTCTTCTGCATCCACGGATTCAGCCAACTTTAGATGAAAAAAATTCAGAAAATCAAATTGTGCCTTTACTGAGCATGTATATTCTTTTGCTTTGTTATTATTCCCTAAACAACAGTACCACAGCTATTTACATTGGGTTTATATCATATTAGGTATATAAGTAATCTAGAGATGAGTCAGGGTATCTAGGAGGATGTGCATAGTTATATGTAAGTCCCACACCATTTTATATATGAGACACTGGATTTTACTGTGCGCAGGCAGATCCTGGAAATCTAGGGCTCTTCTTGAGTACTACAATTGAGAAATCAGGAGTGGGGTGGGGAGGAAGACTGGATGCAGGGGTGGGCACCAGACATTTTACAAGCAGTTTGACCTGAAAAGAATGAACTACATTAGGAGCTTCACAGTTCTTGCTACTGTACTCCATAAAAGAATTTTGAAAGATTCTTTTTGGGTTGACATCTAAAAATATTTTTATAACTTTAGATAGTTGCAAAGCATGTATTCCATGACATACTGAATATCATAACCATGATTAAAATATATCCTCATCTAAACCTTGGAGGTCCAGGTTTAGCTCATTAAATTTGTGGAGAGTGTCCATCATATAAATTAATTGGCAAAGCTAGTCCTTATTGTCAAGCCATTCTGCCAATTTGGATTTCCTTTTCTGTCAGGAAAAAAAAATCCGACTTCATTTTTTAATTCAAATAAATGTGTTAGCATGCAAGTTCTTGGAACCTTTTTGCTTTTGACTTCTAATTTTGAGAAATGAGGGAAAGAAACAATGGAGAGAGAGGGAAGGGAAGCAGGAGAGGTGGCGCAGAGAGAGTTGTCATGAGTTTTCTACCTGCCTTCAATATTTCTTTCTGAAGCGCCCTGGCTGTTTCCCCAAGGGCTGTCCCTCAGGAGGAGACCATGGGGGTTTCCACACCCCAGAAAAATGAACTCTAAAAGACTAGGGCGAGTGGACACTGGTGGGGATGCTTTTTCATTTGCAAAACAAAAAGGATAGTACAGGGGGAAAAATAGCAGGCTCCCTGTGGCACCATCATTTGTAGATACCTTTAAGGAAGGAGGATGCACTACAGATGAAGATTTAGCTGTTGATTTTCCCAAATTCTCCCTGCCTTTCCTGCCCACGGGCCCCTGGAGTCTTCCTGACCAGGGGATGTGTCAGTTTCCCAGTGCACAGACCCTGAGCCAGTCAGCTCCATGATGATTATCACAACATGGCTCGATTCATCTTGAGTGACTCGAGCAAGCCAAGCCCAGAACAATCTGCTGAGCCTGTCCACTTCCCACCACCGCATCTGCGGCTGCTATAGGGAGCCACAAAGCGGTGATTCGAAGCTCTGATTCCCAGGAATGAACCGAGTTCAGTTGTTATTTTCTTTGTAATCCAGTATTTTTTGTTTCACAAAACATGAACGTCTCGGCTTTTTTCCTTCCTTGAAAAGAGCACTGCCTTTGTTTCTCATGTCGTCCCACAAAGAAGGCGGGGATCACGGCTTCTTATTTCCACAGAGTCCTCGCTACCAACCAGCAGTGTGGCGCACTCAGACCTCTTTAGAAAAACAAAAGCTGAGCAAAGAGATGGGTGCCTGTCTTGGAGCTCTGAGTCCTGCGTTCACACACCACTGGAGTGAGGAGGGTACAGCTCCAGTGCCAGACTGTTGGGCCCGTTGTGTCTTCCCCCACAGGCAGGAATTTGCATGGAAATTGCTGCTCAGTGTTGTCAGGACTCCTCTAAACATTTCGTTCAGAGAATTATGCCCAACACGGGAGTTTGACCTCTGGGCTGTATCTCTACTGGGCCAGGAAAGTGAAATTCCTTCCTGAGAAAGGACTCGGAGTCTCAGATCCAAAAATCACCAACGTGACAAGACACAGGTTTTTATCTGTCTGCAGAGTTGTCTGGGTAAATACTGAGAGTGCAGAGAGGGTGGGGAAGGCAGAGCAGTGGA